TAACAAAAAAATAAAAAAAAAAAAAAAAATACATGGAACTGGGAATCTTCCCTCATTTGCAGACCCTTGTCACAATAAGAATCCTTGCCTATTTGTGAAAGGATATTATCAAGGAAAAGATCCTCCGTCTTGGAGAAAATATTTTTTGACCCTGGAAATACTATAAAAGGTTTGGCTTTTTTTTTTTTTTTTTTAATGAGGAAGGGACCATTTGCTTCAGAGTAAATATCCCACAGCTCAAGTGTGGCCACGTGATGCCAAAATGCAGCAGCAAAACCACCTTTTCAGTAGCATAATTTTCTGCCCCTTGCCAAAATGATGCAAAATCTTTTGCACGCCACTCACTATCCCAACCAAAAAAAAAAGCCTGAAGTATCATCTCTGGGGACCCTCAGGGGCTGAAATAATGAACAACTGGTAGTCCCCAAGTAAAGTTGTCCTCCTGTGATTTGAAGATGTAACTAAACCTACGTGGAGGCGCTCCGAGGCTTCAGGTTTTGTCGTATCTCCAAAAGCAAAGGGAAGGAACAGAGACGCCCATCCTGTTTCATCCAAGCTGTCGTGGAAACTGATATTGGCATAAGAGGGAAGATCCAATGGGCCATAACAAACTGGGGATCTGCAGGAACCACCATCTGCCATGGCCCCAGACTTCACTGACCTAGATCAGTCTTGAAGCTGGCACAGATCAATTACCAGTTTTAATGGGATGGGACAATTAAAATAACAGTTTAGGAATGGGTGGGGAGAGGGATGGAAATTCTGTTCTTCTTCCTCCTGCTGAGTTAATGCCAGCAAACGTCAGGGATTTACCCAATCTCCAGAAGAAAAGCTCAGCTCTCTCATTACAGATGTTTCCAGCATCATTAAGATGCATGACAATTTAATATATGTTAAATAATTATCCTTTGGTCTAAGGAAAACCTGTGGGCCTGAGACTGTGTATGCCCCCCATCCCAAAGTATCTGTTTGGCCACCACTGGATCCTCTACAGTCCATGATTGCTAAAACCTGGTAACATAGTTTGCTGTCCTTTCAAGGTGGAAAAAACACAAAACGATGTAGTAAAAGCCCTAACATAGGGATGTTACAGTTTTAAAAAAAGGAAACCGAAGCCTACCAAATTCTCCCTGCCCACATATATGATGGAGATCTACCCTTTCTCAACCTTCAACCCCACCAAAAAGTCCAGAAAGCTCCTTTGACATCAACAGACTGCCCATTCCTAGCCTAAGCCCCATTTGTCCAGGCTCTACTTCCCACAAGGGCCAAGGGGCTGCTTAGGAACCGTCTGGTAGGATAACAATTCTTTCAGTCTGGAGGCTCTATATAATCTTAATTACTTAATTGCCATCAATAGTCATCTCTGTGGGTTTTTCTAATTCCTTTTAAAAGGCCTCACCACATTTTCTGGTAACAAATCCCATACATTAATTTTGTATGAAGAGGAACTTTCTTTAGTACTTCCTGTAGAGGTTTCTCATTCTCCCTCTCTCTCATTCTCTCTCTCTCCTTATATTTTTTGTAACGACAGAGCGGGAATGGGAGAAACCAAAGTAAATTATGAATGAGCAAGCATTAGGGATGGGGGAGGACCTTTAGCACAATCCCAGAACACATGCTTTGTCCCAGATTTCTATCTTGGCATCTGCATCTAACAGGGCTTAGGTTATCTGGACCATTGGTCTGAGTCAACCAAAGACAGTATCCAACAAAAATCTATCTATTTTCTTAAACTATCCCTCCTACCCATGAACTCTGTCGAAGTTGCCTGATAGCTTGAAAGCACTATCAGTCAGTGGTAACCCCTCTACTCTGTGCCTAGAAAGTCCCAGATTTACTGTTTGACATTTCCAATATGGAAAAGATCAGATAGAAATGGAGGGGAAGGAACTCTGCCCCAAATCCTGAAAAGCCATTGCTACTCAGAATTCACAGTCTGTCGTCCAACGGCTACGGCTGTTCATTCTTCCTCTCACTTGGCATTTCTTGACCCTCAACTACAGCTTAATGAAACACCCCCTGATCCTCATGCTGATTTCATGCAGGTTTAATCCTTGGCATTTTCAGAACTGAGGACCACCTAAACTTTGGATTCTGACTCAAATATGACATAAACCATATGTATAAGGTTCTTAAATATAGCTAAGGAATGCTTTCATAATCTCAACAATGGTCCCATTGAGACAGTATCTAATAATAGCCTCACTACTTCCACTTGCTTTGAACCAAATAGATTTTACTGTTACTAGATATGCAGTTCATTGACAAATACGTTCCATAGTTAGTGCAGCTTTTAGGAAAGTTATTGTTGCTCCCCTATCACTACTGCAGGGAAACTATAATATAATAAAGTCCCTTATTGTGGAGATATGAACCCCCTTGGTAGCAGTTCCTACCTGTTGAAACAATACTGATTGGATGATCTTATGGAGGCTTGCAAGTGATGCTCTGAATTCAGATGAAGGTTCCATCATGAAAGGCTTCAGCATTTCCAGTTGTTTTTGAATGGTCAGAATTAGATGTTGTGTTTCCTGTAACGACACTTCTTTACTTGCACTTGGGAAAACAGGATTCTTGAAAAAGCATCAGGAACAGTAGGTTTGTTAATAAATAGCCTTAGGCTGGGACAGGGTACCTGCAGCCTGAAGGCTGCATGTGACTCTAGGGTCAATTTTACACAGCCATCAACTTAATTTCAAAAGCTTTCTGCAAGAAATTAATCCAGACCCCCAGTAAGAGCTAGCTGTCTCTTCTTCACTGTCTGCTGCTTGAGAAGACAGGGGAGGGCAATGGAAAGAGAGAAAAAGAAGGCTCTACAGAGAAAAAAAACGAGGCTACCAGAGAGTTAAATTAGCATTCTGGACCAACTCACATTGGGTTTGACTCTACTGCCTTCCTTAGTTCCACCATGAGGAATGGGGTTCTTGAAAGAAAAATAAATGTTGTCTA